CTGTGTTCCACGTCCGAATGAGGAAATCACCTGTTAGTTTTGGCTTGCCCTGGGATTGGCCCCCACCCAGTGCCCGATCAAATCAGCCAAGATCTGCCGTTAGAAATGGTCCTGACAAAAAAGTGTAAGGATTTTAAATATTTCAACGTTTCCACAGCAACCACTGGCATTCCGGAGCACACCCAGCGTGGTTTAATCTCCGGTAATTGTGCGGTTTGTATAGTGAGGGTACAGTATAAAAGGGAAACGAAAAACCGGTTTACACAACATGCAGTTAGCTTCAATACACAGCGCTCGAGTCACTGACCAATTCTATCCGAGATTCATCTCATATAACCTGAATTAATACCCTCTCCTTCCAAGTGGCCTCCAGCGTTCTCACATACAGGATCACTATATATTGCTAATAGCTGTAGCTGGGCATCCAAACATGGCCACCACCAGCCCACAGCTGGCCAGCTCAATGTATCAGAAACGTTGGTATGTTTGAGAAAAACTTGATTGCCTCTAGTAATGTTATAGTGAATCACACTGTCTGTGTCAGTGAGAACCACCCTGCCATCTCAGGCTGAGGTTAGTGGGATTTACCCTGCCATCTCAGGCTGAGGTTAGTGGGATTTACTCTGCCATCTCAGGCTGAGGTTAGTGGGATTTACCCTGCCATCTCAGGCTGAGGTTAGTGGGATTTACTCTGCCATCTCAGGCTGAGGTTAGTGGGATTTACTCTGCCATCTCAGGCCGAGGTTAGTGGGATTTACCTTGCCATCTCAGGCCGAGGTTAGTGGGATTTACCTTGCCATCTCAGGCTGAGGTTAGTGGGATTTACCTTGCTATCTCAGGCCGAGGTTAGTGGGATTTACCCTACTATCTCAGGCTGAGGTTAGTGGGATTATTGAAAGTTGCTCCTTTTTTAGGCTGGTATTACTAGGAGTTGCTCCTACTTTCTCAGGCTGTGATTACTGGGAGTCGCTCCTATCTCAGGCTGGGATTACTGGGAGTCGCTCCTATCTCAGGCTGGGATTACTGGGAGTCGCTCCTATCTCAGGCTGGGATTACTATCTCAGGCTGGGATTACCGGGAGTGGCTCCTATCTCAGGCTGGGATTACTGGGAGTCGCTCCTATCTCAGGCTGGGATTACTGGGAGTGGCTCCTATCTCAGGCTGCGATTTCTGGGAGTCAATCCTATCTCAGGCTGCGATTACTGGGAGTCGATCCTATCTCAGGCTGCGATTACTGGGAGTCGATCCTATCTCAGGCTGCGATTACTGGGAGTCGATCCTATCTCAGGCTGCGATTACTGGGAGTCGATCCTATCTCAGGCTGCGATTACTGGGAGTCGATCCTATCTCAGGCTGGGATGTATTTCCTGTAAATAGAATACAAGTTATAATATATCCCATTCTATGTCAGGAAGTCACCTTTGTCAGGCATTGCTTGCTGCAGATAGGAGCTGAACTGAAAGCTATCCTCAGCCGGCACATCTCTCTCTCTCCCTCTATATATACACTCTGTCCTGCCTACTCTCTCTCTCTCTCGCTGTGTTTCCTCTCCTGTATACTCTCTCTCTCTCTCTCTTGCTGTGTGTCCTTTCCTGCACACACACTCTCTCTCGCTGTGTGTCTCGCTGTGTCCTCTCCTGCACACACTCTCTCTCTCTCTCTCTCACTGTGTGTTCTCTCCTGCACACTCTCTCTCTCTCTCTCTCTCTCTCTCTCTCTCTCTCGCTGTGTGTCCTCTCCTGCACACTCTCTCTCGCTCTGTGTCCTCTCCTGTGCTCGCTATCTCTCTCTCTCTCTCTCTCTCTCTCGCTGTGTCCTCTCCTGCACTCTCTCTCTCTCGCTCTCTGTGTGTCCTCTCCTGCACACACCTCTCTCTCTCGCTGTGTGTCCTCTCTTGCACACACACACTCCTCTCTCTCTCAAGCTGTGTGTCCTCTCTTGCACACACACTCTCTCTCGCTGTGTCCTCTTGCACACACACTCTCTCTCGCTGTGTGTCCTCTCCTGCACACTCTCTCTCCTATCTCTCTCGCTTTGTGTCCTCTCCTGCACACACTCTCTCTCTCTCTCTCACTGTGTGTCCTCTCCTGCACTCTCTCTCGCTCTGTGTGTCCTCTCCTGCACTCTCTCACTCTCACTGTGTGTCCTCTCCTGCACTCTCTCTCTCTCGCTCTGTGTCCTCTCCTGCACTCTCTCTCTCTCGCTCTGTGTCCTCTCCTGCACACACACTCTCTCTCTCTCGCTGTGTGTCCTCTCCTGCACACTCTCTCTCGCTCTGTGTCCTCTCCTGCACTCTCTCTCTCTCTCGCTGTGTGTCCTCTCCTGCACACACACTCTCTCTCTCTCTCGCTGTGTGTCCTCTCCTGCACTCTCTCTCTCGCTGTGTGTCCTCTCTTGCACTCTCTCTCTCTCGCTGTGTGTCCTCTCTTGCACTCTCTCTCTCTCTCTCTCTCGCTGTGTGTCCTCTCCTGCACACACACACACACTCTCTCTATCTGTGTGTGTCTTCTCCTGCACTCTCTTGGCATTACCCATTGCTGTCTCTTTTTCCCCCCTGCAAGTATTTGCATTATCCTCCATAATCCGAGGAGCACGGGATCGGTAATCCGTTAACGCTATTCTACTAATTAATTGGCTTGGGCTTCTGATTCTGTGTCTGTCTCAGCTCAGCCTGGGAGACTCGGAGTTAGCAGAACTTGTGGCTAATGATATTCTTTTTCATGTGGACAGTTGTCCACTAATTTGCCATCTGGCCACCATTGATCATGTTTTGC